GGCGCTGCAGCAGGAGAACGAGAAGCAGTGGAAGGAGGTGGCCCGGTGGGTCTGAGCCCTGGGGCAGGGCATAGCCCCCTCCCTGCCCCATAGCCACCTCCTGCCACCCCATGTCCCCAAAACGCAGCACCCCCTGACCCCATCCTGTCCCTGCAGGCTGGCACAGGAGAGGGACACCCTGCAGCAGGATTGCAACGGGCTGTGCCAGGAGCTGCGGGAGGCAACCGAGTGCCGGGAGGTAGGAGCTGCCTGACCCTGCCCGAGCCGTCACGTGCTGTGGGCCTCGCGGGAATGCTGGCAGGTGGCCAGGAGCGGGATTAGCCCTCCTGTGGGGGTGGGGGGATTAAGAGCAGTTGGCATCCCGCACGTAGTGCTGCTCTCCATCCTGCCCGGCGGCGATGACAGATCTCTGGGATAATTCCCCTGACTGCAGGCGTGGTGCTGTCCCCCAGCCTGTCCTGTGTCCCCAGTAAACTGCTGGTCTCTGGGTGTTGGTCCGCTGGGGTAAAGCTGCCCCTAACAAAATGGCACCCCAAGGTGTGGGAGGGACCATGCTGGGGTCCTAATGGACTCCTCGGGTCCCTGGCCTGGTGCTCATGGCTGTGTCCTCCCACCCTCTTGCAGTTCCTCAATCAGGAGAACCACATGTCCCGCACGCAGCTGCTGGAGGTGGAGGCCAGGCTGAAGTCCACGCTGACCACCCTGCAGGAACAGAGCCTGCAGTACGAGGAGCTGATGAACTCCCACCAGTGCCTGCGGTACTGACCCCCTCACTGCCTCCGCTTGAACCCCTCTGTTTTGGGAAATGGAGTCCCTCCTGGGGGATGGGGGACACATGGGGATACACAGTTCCAGTTACTGCTGCCCAGCCAAGCATGGGTGTCCCGGCGGGTGGAAGTGACTGTGGAGAAGCCCAGAAGAAACCATCTTGGGGGAAGCTACCTAAATCTGTGGGGTTTGCACCTGCCCTGGCTCATGGTGGGAGGCAGATGTGGGAAATGTCCCCGTCCCATGCTGAGGAGGGGGAACGCTGCTCCCGCTGAGGCTGGTGCCATCCTGCAGGGAAGAGCAGGCTGCCCTCTGCCAGGAGCTGGAGAGCACCAAGGCTGAGCTCCTCGACTTGCGGCTCAGGAGGGACAAAATCTCCTGGTGCTCCACGGACATCACCGAGAGCAAGATGCGGCTGCAGGAGCTTGCCGATTGCCTCAGGGCTGCTCTGCAAGAGGAGGTGGGAGCCCTGCCCTAAGGACAAGGACGAGGGGGTGGCCTGGTGGGGAGGACAGAGCCCTGTGGCTCTCCATGACATAGCTTTGAGACCCCTCCCCGCTCACCGGAGCAGTGCAGAGCTGTCACAAGCCCTGCTCCAGCACCGCGCTCTCCCTCTCCCTTTGAAGGATGACGCCCCATCGAGAAGCAGAGCGTGGACCCCAGCTCCGCGGACACCAGGCTGGCAAACACCCCGCCGTGCCTGGACCCCTGCCTGCCGCACGCCGGCGTGTCGCACCCCATACTGCGCCGGGGGCTCCTTCGTGGGCAGCGTCCTGAAAGCGGTGTCAGGGAAAGGTGAGCGGGCACCCGCTGTCTGGGTGCTGGGGGGTGGCCCCTCTGTGGGGATGGGGATTGCTCCCTCCTACGCTGGCGACGTGCACTGGTGCTGGGGATGGCACCAGGATCTCCTACTTGCCCATGTCCTTCCCTGTGGAGTTCCTGGTTGTTCCCTCGTGGCAGCCATGGGTTGGGTCACAGCTTCTGCGAGCAGCTGGGGTCTTCTCTGAGCTCCCCAGGGTAGATGGGTGTGTGGGTGAGCTCTGCTCGCGCTCCCTGCTGCACATGGGACTGGGCACAGCGCCTCTGCCCTCTTCTCTCATAGATGCCGATGAAGCTGCCGGAGGTGGCAGTGCGTTTACCAAGGACAAACCTGCCTCTACACCAAAGCCAATAGGTACTGGGGCTGTCACCCTGCTCTGAAGCTGCAGGGCTTCCTGCACGGGATGGGACAAGCAGGCATGCCTTCCTGCTTGGCTCCGTGTCCCCTGGGGCTGCTGTTCCCTTTGTGCCACTTATGAGCCTCTGTCTCGCGCGCAGAGCCCGAGGACGGTCTGCTGGAGAGTGTGAAGGAGCTGAGAGCCGTGGTCTCTGACCTCGCCATGCTGAGCTCCCGCATCCAGGAGCTGGAGCAGAGCGAGTTCAAGGCACTGCAGACAGAGATGTGAGTTCAGTGGGGGCTTGTGTTGAGGGCCAGGCATGGGCACTGCTCTCCTGGGCATGCTGCCTCCTGCGGGCAGCCTGTCCGGGATCTGCATCTCTCCCTGGCTCTGGATTAGACCTCTCCTGCCATGGCTAAAAAGGCCAGCTGGCTGGGCTGGTAGGTTGGCCTCTCCCACCACAGGGCTGGTGGGATGCCCAGGAGGGGGTTTGATACCCAGCACCGTGCTTGGCTGCAATCCCCATCCGCTCAGCCCTGCTGCCTTCTCCCAGCTCCGACCTGCAGCTCCGCCTGGAGACAGTGACAGCCGAGAGCCAGGAGAAGATGGACACCCAGGCTGCCACCATCACCAAGCTGAACAAGGCGCTGAGGGGCAAGCTAGAGGTGAGCTGGTGCCAGAAGTGGGCCAGCACTCACCCCAGGGCAGAGCCGAACTGGGACGGGCGCTGATCTAGGACATGGAGAAATCTGGGTGACCGACTCTGGCAATGCCCCATGGGTGCTCCTGGATCATCTGACCTCGAACATGAGAAAACCCACTCCCCCCCCGGGGTGCTGGGGGTGGCCGGGCACTTCTTGACACCGCTTCTTCCTCCCTGCAGAATGAGAGGGAGCTGCAGGACGTGGTGAAACAGCAGGAAGAGAAGATGCTGCAGCTCATTGACAAGAGTGGGGAAGTCACGGTGTGTGATGGGGGCCTGCCTGGGCTGCACGCCTGGGGGTGCCAGCCACAAGACACCTCTCGGCATCTCCTTTCCTCCCTGCAGAGGCTGAAGGGAGAGGTCTCCCAGCTGAAGCGCTTGGTCCAGCGTGCGGAGACAGAGAACAAGGTGCTGTGGGAGGAGTTGCGGGGGCAGGAGCCCAAGGTGGATGCTGCCTACGTCCAGGAGCGAGTCCTGCTGCGGCAGGAGGTGAGGCCGGGGGGGCTGCCAGGGCCCAGGGCTCCTCATGTCACACACCCCTCTGCGGACAGGGGACCTCTTCAGACCTTGCTCCTCAAGCAGGCGACCGGTGGGATGGCAGGGGACAGCCCCCCACCCTATGGCTCTTCCTTACAGCGAGTTCTGAGCAGCACTTGCTCTTTTTGCAGGTGGACAAACTGCGGCTGTTGCTCCTGGAGAAAGAGGATGAGAATCTGCTGCTCTCCAACAAGTACCTGGAGCAGGTATGGAGAAGGCCAAGGGGCTGCCCTGGCTCTAGTCCTCTCCCCCTCCTGGGCCAGTCCCTGCCCAGTTTTGGGGCAGGCTCCTGACAGGCATCTCTCACCGCAGGTTCAAGGCCTGGAGCTGAAGCTCCATCATGCCCAGAAAGTGCTGAGGACCCACGAGGAGATGCAGGAGAAGATGAAAGAGGTGAGGTTTGTGGTTCACCACTCTCACCCTTCCTGTGACTGCAGCAACACCAACCTTCATCCCAAATGCTCTCACTAACGCTGCTGCTGTCCCCAGGTCCTGTTGGCTGTCCCCGAGGTGGCAG